CTTGAAACCAGTCAGTCAGCAATGATCTGATGACTACCACAATTAGAACAGCTGCACAAGACGGCATGAGTAGCGTTTAGGCTCATCACGCGTTAAACCTTTAGTTTTGTAACCATGGTTACCGCTCTTCAAACGCTTCTTTAAAGGGTAGCAAGAAACGATTTTCACTTCTGATACGTCCAAACACAATGTACCAAGTACTATACACTGTTTTTCCGTCGGAAGATAAGAAATATCTTTCTGAGCTACTTGTAAATATTGTTTTGATCAGGTTTACTTATGGGGGAAGTATAATTAAGAACAATTTTGAAATACCGAGAATCTAACCTAAAGAGAATTTCATACATTTTATTGCATTCTTCAGTTCAAAGTTGCTACAAGCTTAATATTCATGTTGATAATGTGCAATGCTGTTCTAACGTAATAGAAAATTTTTTGAGATAAAGAAGGATAAATTGTCAACTGGTATTTCAGAAGTGATCTGACATCTTTGTTGGTAGCAAGTCTGCAAAACTTGTTTTAACCTGTGTTACAATAGATGTACTACATAGCAGCATGTGCGTCCTCTAGGGACCTATAGTCCAGCTACTCAATTAAATATTCGTGTGTTCGTTGACATGTAGCTTTCTTCTAAGTAAACGGTTTAGTTTTCTTATCCTTGTCTCTCGTTGTCTCTCGTATTATTATATGGTGGCAGCGGTAGTTTTTGTTTTCCTTCATTTAAGTCGTTGACAAGTTAAACCGGCTACAGCATGAATAGTAGCGAAAGTTCAGGTCCTTCGTCTCAACCGTCAGCGCCGTCAGCGCCGTCAGCGCCTCAATCGTCGATGTTTCATCAGATCATGCCGTCTCACCCTCTTGCTTTAAAATACAGCTGAGAAATCGCTGAGAACTGGAAGCTTTGGAAGGAAAAATACAACAACTATTTCGTTATTTCAAGGCTAGATCGAGAGAGCCCGGAATACCAGCTAGCAATGTTTAAGCACACGATCGGAGATGATGCTTTGAAAGTTATCAAAACATTATTCAGTCACACTAAAGCCGAGGACTCGAATAATTGGCGCGTGGTAATGGATAAAATGGAGAAGCATTGTATCTGAGAGGTCAACGAAATTTAAGAGCGGTATTGTTTTAAAAGGAGGGATAAACTCCCTACTGAGTCGTTAAATAGTTTTGTCGCTGAATTGAAAACGTTAGCCAAGACTTGTAATTTTTGTGACTGTTTACGGGACAGTTTGATCCATGATCGTATTGTTCTCGGAATTAAGAACGAGCAGACTACGAAGAAGCTATTAACTATGGTTAAATCGTTGTATTGATGTATGCCGAAGCGAAGAAGTTACAGAGTTGCAACTGAAGTCGCTATAGGAACCGGGAGACCGCATTAATCAGGTCAAGTCAAGGAAGCCTCAAATCCCGACGCCGGATGGACGGCCCGGAAAGAAAATTTCGTGCAAATTTTGTGGCTATGATTATGCCCCGGAGAGAAAAAAGTGCCCTGCCTGGGGTAAAGTATGTAAGCGGTGCAACAGAAGGAGTCATTTTGCAAAAGGGTGCAAAGATAAAGATGCCGCGGTTTATGCTGTTGACAGCGACGAAGACTTAGAAGAGATTAGTGTTGTAAGGATTCAAGCTATGAAAGATAAGGCCGTGTTTGCCGAAATGCTGGTCCAGCACAAACCTATCAGATTTCAAGTTGACTGTGGAGCTGATGCTAATATTTTGCCACACAAGCATGTGGAAAATGTGGATCTTGCCCCTTGTTCCCCATCCCTTGTTATGTGGAATGGCACAAAGGTAAAGCCCGTGGGGACGTGTGCTCTGCCAGTTGTAAATCCCCGAAACAATACCAAGTACAAAGTAAGGTTTGTGGTCGTCAAGAAGAATCTAACCCTGCTTCTGGGTTTAAACGCTACTGAGAAAATGGGTTTTCTAACCGTGCACAAGGAGAACTTTGTGAGCGTTGTGGAGAATTTGGAAAACGATCTGGTCATCAAGTACGCAGATGTATTTGATGAGGGCCTTGGCAAGCAGCCTGGAAAGGTACATCTACAAGTCGATCCGGCCTCTCAACCAGTAATTCTCCCAGCTAGGAAAGTGCTAGTCTCAGTCAGAGAGAAATTCAAGGCGGAACTTCAAAGGTTGCAGGAGCTCGAGGTCGTTGCTCCCGTCGATGAGCCTACGGAATGGGTCAGCCAGTTCGTTTTTGCTGTCAAAAAATGTGGTGAATTACGTGTTTGCATTGATCCTAAGGCGTTGAATGCTGCCCTGAAGAGGGAAAGATACCAGATTCCAGTTATTGACGATTTGCTTCCCGATTTGGCAGAGGCTCGGGTGTTTACCAAAGTTGATCTCGCGTCCGCTTTTTGGCATTCGGTGCTGGATGATGAGTCTAGTCTGTTGACAACTTTTGCCACCCCTCATGGAAGATATCGCTGCGTTCGTTTGCCGTTTGGTCTGTGTGTGTCAAGTGAGATATTTCAGAAACATTTACACCAAGAATTACTGGGTCTGCCTGGTGTGAAATGTATCGCCGATGACTTGCTCATTTATGGAAAAGATGACGCTGATCACGATTGTAACCTGGAGGGTTTCATAAAGAGATGTCAGCTGAAAGGTATAAAGCTCAATCGTGCGAAACTGGATTATAGGTGTAAGGAAGTTCCCTTTCATGGGCATCTCTTGACAACAGAAGATCTGAAGCCAGATCCGCAGAGATTCAAGGCGATTACTGAAATGCCACGGCCTGAAAAGCCTGAGGATGTGTCGCGTCTAAATGGTATGGTTAATTACCTCAGTCGTTTCCTGCCAAACCGCTTTTTGACGTGATGAAACCCCTCCGTGACCTTACACATAAGGATGTAGAATAGTGTTGGTCCAACGTGCAAGAAAAGGCCTGGAATGAGGTCAAGAGCCTCATCGCGTCTGCCCCCGTGCTATCATACTACAAGCCCGATGAGCTGTTGGAAGTGCAGTGTGACAGCAGTCAAGCTGGTCTGGGCGCGGTCCTTATGCAAGGTGGGCAACCCTTAGCCCAGGCAAGCAGAACGTTAACAGAAACAGAGTCCCGCTATGCACAGATTGAAAAGGAAATGCTTGCGATTGTTTTCGAAATGGAGAAGTCTAACGACTACACATTTGGCAGGAAGACAGTGGTTTTCAGTAATTACAAGCCACTTGAATCAATTCCTAAGAAGCCTTTGCATCGTGCCCCCAAGCGTTTGCAAGGCATGATAATTCGCCTGCAGAAGTATGACCTGGAGGTGAAATATCAAAAGGGAGATACGATGTTCTTAGCAGACACCCTCTCAAGAGCGTTTCTCCGTGCCGGTCATTAAGACCACTCTGAATTTGAATCCATTAACATGATCAAGCACCTTCCGGTATCGGAAGAAAGGCTCCAACAAATTTAACGTGACACTGAATCAGACGAGTCTCTTAAAGTGTCAAAGACCGTGATCCAGAAGGGCTGGCCGGAGCACAAGATGAACGTACCTGTTATCATCTCCCCATATTTCAACATGCGCGACGAGATGTCTATCCAGGGTGGTCTCATTTTCAAGGGAGAGCGAGTCGTGGTCCCGCGTGCTTCAAGGAGTGAGCTGTTGAAACGAATTCACAGTTCACATATTGGGGTCAACGGCTGTCTAAACAGAGCGCGTGAGTGTGTGTACTGGCCCGGGATGACAGCTGAAATTAAGAACTAAGTGTCGACATATGAGGCATGTCGTGAATATGAACGAGGCCAAGCTAAGGAGACGATAATGTCCCCTGAGACGCCAACTAGACCCTGGCAACGGGTTGCCGCCGACCTTTTCGAGCTCGCAGGAAAGACTAATCTAGTGACCTCGGATTATTACAACGATTTCTTTGAGCTCGCCCACTTGAAATCTCCTTCGTCAGTATGTGTCCTCAGAGAGTTAAAGGCTCATTTTGCGCGCCATGGCATACCTGAGCAACTGGTGACTGATAACGGTTCACAATTTACATCACGTGACTTCCTGAGGTTCGCGAAAGAATGGGATTTTGAACATCTCACTAGCAGCCCATATCACAGTTACGGTAACGGTAAAGCAGAGAGTCCAGTGAAGGAAGCTAAGAAGATTCTCAGAAAGTGCAGATCGAGTGGATGGGATGCATTTCCTGAGCCTTACTCGATCACCGCAACACCCCACCTGCCAGTATCCAAGTCAGTCCAGCACAGCGTCTTTTCAACAGGAGGACGAGAAGTCTTTTACCGATGACGGCGAATTTGCTCGCACCGCAGCCAGTCCCAGACAACGAGCTGTGCCAAAGCAAGCTTGAATGGCGCAAGCAGCGACAAGCTCAGTATTACAACAGCGGTGCTGTCGATCTGAATCCCTTGAAAAGAGGAGATCCAGTAAGAATAAAGCCGTTTCAGCTGGGCAAGCGAGAATGGCAGAAAGGAATTGTACGGAGTCGACTGGATGAGAAAACATATGAGGTCGAGACACCCCATGATGTTGTTCGTCGCAACCGTGTTCACCAACGGAAGACAAATGAGCCATCACCAACATCATCAGACGGTCCTGCTGAGATGTCAATGCCCTCTTCAATGCAGTCCAATGAAGTGCCGACCACCGTTCCCGAGGAAGTAGATCCACCTTTATCAACTCAAGGAAACACGTCTTTAACTGGGCCTGAAGTTCCCTCAACTACAGCAAAGTCTCCACAGAAACCATCCCTAAGACGATATGGGCGTCAATGACGGCCACCAAAGCAATTAAGTGACTTTGTTTCGAAGAAGCCATAAACTGTTCTAAAATAACTTCTTACGTGTTATAGGGCTCGATTATTTACCTTGTAGATGCATGCTTATTTCAAATTTCGTATCAATCAGTTTCGTGTGTCGGTTTGTAACCTATAGCAAGTTTCTTTGTTTTCATCTATAAAAGGGAGGATGTTATATTAGGTGTACTACATAGCAGCATGTGCGTCCTCTAAGGACCTGTAGTCCAGCTACTTAAGTATTCGTGTGTTCGTTGACATGTAGGTTTCTTCTAAGTAAACGGTTTAGTTTTCTTATCCTTGTCTCTCGTATTATTACAACTGACCTGCATCGCAGCTCAGTCAGTAGACGAGCACGCTGATCCACAAAAACAATGAAGCTACCTTTTATCACGTCTCATTGACATTTTTCCTCATGTTTTCATCAGTGGAGTAAAGTTGTTGGCGAGTACAAACTTATTGCTCTCAACTTATGGCCCACAAGACAAAAGACAAACATCTGAAAATAATCATATTCATTAACAAATAAAATATTACGGCTTTATCGTGATAATATGATGAAGAGAAGAGTAAACATTCACAAATACTCCATTGCAGATAACAATAACAATAACAATAACACTTATATAGCGCTTATTCGCATGCGTTCTAAGCGCTTTACATCCATTGTATTACAATATGACTTGGAAATATAAAAACAAAAGATTAAGTTATCTAATTTCGATTAAAAGCGNGGCGGCATATCATCGCGATATGCCATTCACCACTAAAGATCAAGATAACGATCAATGCACCTACTGCAACTGCGCCTTTTCGTACAAGGGAGCCTGGTGGTACAAGCGTTGTCACGTTTCAAATCTGAATGGCTTGTATCTTCGAGGCAATCATTCTTCCTCCGCTAATGGTGTGAACTGGCTTGACTGGAGAGGATATTATTATTCACTGAAGATAACTGAGATGAAAATAAGACCAGTGGATTTCTAAACTGTCATGTTCATTGCACATCTATGATAGAGAACCAAAGCAACAAAAACGAATGCCTCAATCAAGTTTTTTCAGCACTGAATAATCCCTTATTAGTTAGAGCCTACCGAAATGTTCGTTGCATTGTTGAAGCTTGTTTAAATTTTTGTTTTCTTCTTTGTGTGTTTAAGTTTAAAAATCTCTTATTCTTCCCCGTTAAAGCTCTCGGGGAATGGATAGTGGTCTCCGTTACTTTTTGGAAAAAGAGGAAGTTGATTTCGTTATTTGTTTAATAGATACGTCAATTACATTTGTCTGCGCTTGACATGTACTGAGGTTTCATGAGTATTAATGAGATTAACTCGTGTTTGTATTACGACATATTTGATAACGGTTTGTATAACAATGGCTGATTAAAGGGACTTTCCACTAAGTGGTTGAGGTGGCCAAGAAATATCTTGGGGGGGCTCTGCCCTCCCAATTTTTTGTCTGGGGGAAACTACGGCCCCACCCCTCATAGCTCCGCCGCCTATGACGTCTAAGGTCTTTGTTATAGATAGGTTCACGCATTGCGTAAGGTTGTGTACTTAGTTTGTATAAATACAAAAAAAAGGTGATAAAATGTCATCTGATGTGTGGTTTCTCTTGATGAGGAAGAAAAGTCTCAAAAATTATTGGAATCTACTACAGGTTATAAAACAGAATATGATAAACAGGAAAATTAACTATTATCATTAATAGAAAACAAGTCAACGATTACTCATTGATCATGAGTTTCGGTTTAGGCCCCTACCACACTACTGCGTTTCCGTTTCTAAACGCATACTTTTTTTATGCATTTTAGCCAGTCGTTCACTCCAGCTAGAGGAATAATGATGCGTGTTTACGTTTTCAAAATTGGATGATTTCATCTCAACGAGGAATGCTGACAGTTTGTGAAGTTTATTGTGTATTGGAAAGCATCGAGGGCCACAAATTTATTAGCCTCTGCTATTAAGTGCTACCCTCTTTAAATAAAGGCTTTCATTCATTCATTCATTCATTCAAGCATCCACCCATTAAAACTTAGTAGTTGAAACGATTTGGTGCTTAATTCCTGCCAGGTCCGATTTAAAAGTAAAACAGCGAAAGATAAAAACTGATATATACAGGGTCTCAATGAGGGGATGGCTCTTACTGCTAACGGTAAAAATTTTAAATTTTAACTATTTTGCTTCCAACAGTTACATACTTTCCTACGTTATTAGAAAAAAAACCTTTTACGGTTAACTTATTTAGCGACTTGCGGTTAAAATTTGTTAATTTATACGCCTTACGGCTAAATAAATTATTTTCTGTCGTTTTTCGGCTAACAGTTAACCCTACTACTGTGAGACCCTCTCTATGTAGAAAAGAGTACATAAGTTTTTATGCCTTCGGGTTTTACCGCTCTATTCCTTTAAATTCAAGTTTCCTAATTTCATAAGAGGCCAATTAAAAAGGTGTGTTTTCAGTTTAGATTTAAAAATATCTAAACTGGGCGAAGACTTGATTTCTAAAGGTAAGGAGTTCCATAAAAAGGGAGCAGCTACTGTAAAAGATCTAAAACCATAAGACTTAAGGTTCCATTTGTTTTGTTTTAAAAGAAATGCAGAAGACGAACGAAGCTTTCTATTTGGTACATAACGTTGGATCATTTCATCAATGTAGACAGGGGCAAGGCCGTTTAGAGATTTAAATGTCAAAGAAGAATCTTGAATTGAATGCGTTGAATTGCGCTCCTCTTTTGCTGCCTTTTGCAGCGGTTAACTCGCCTGAAAAAATGAATATTTAATAAGGACAAATTTATATCAAGGTCTCATTTTGCATGGGATGAAAATAAGTCCACTCGCAGAACGACGTCAATCCTACCAATAACATAACTGAACGTTGTAGTTGCTTTCAAAATGTTATGATAAGTAAAATAAATAAGAGAAAGCTGACAAATAAATGCCAAACACCTGCCTAACATTTGTCATCATTTAAGTTGGAAAACAGGAAGCTTTATAATTTGGTGCGCTCACTATCATTTTTTGGAATTTACAGTTTTTAATTCAAAGTGATGCAGTTCAAGTTTTTCCTTCAAGTGACCACCGGTAATCTCTTCGTTTTTCTTGGAGTTACTCTCCCACTATGTTTCTGTTGCACTGGTGAGCATAAATCCCCTTGTGAACTTCTTTTGTTTCATCTTTCTGGCGTCGTTTCTTCGAAACCGTTATACGAACTACATACGCTACCTGCTAATCAAAGTAAATACTCTCTAAGCAGACACTCCCTATCTAACTCAAAATATCTCCCATTTTGGCATATATGTGTTGTAGTTCAATTTTATCCTTGGTTTAAATTTCATTTTCCTTTGTTTCCAACACATTATCATACATTAACATGACCGAGAACAAAGGAAAATAAAATTTGAACCAAGTATAAAATTGAAGTACAACATATACAAGAAACGAGTAGCAATGAAAACTGAAAAAGCTACTTATAGTCGTATACACAGACTAGTACACAAAGTGCATATCCATCGTGTTTGCAAAAAGTCCTCACAACATGCGCATAAAAGGGTGAAATTGATGAATTAAAACAAAAAATTCAGATATCGTGGTTTGCTAATTATCGCAATGAAAATATTCCCGACATTTTTCTCAAAAATTCCTTTCCGCTGATTAACTCACCCACAGAGATGTTTTTCGATGAAAACCTCCCGGTTAGAATTTAATTTTAAGAGCTGAAAATGGCCTTCAGGGAAAACTGGGGAACGTCCTCAGGTAGTAAAGTTTTAAAATAAAGTTGTATCATGTGCCCTTTTCATTAGTGAAAATGAGAAATTAACACGAGTGAGTGAAAAATAAACTATATATTCGTTTTACCTTCCACAGGAGACGATTGTCGAAACATTCTAGTCAAGGACCCAATACCAAACATGGTCATGACAAATCACGTGATCAGAAGCGTAGAGGTGCCTAATGAAGGGAGCTGCAAAATGATATGTTACATGGAGCCTAATTGTGTGTCCATCAATATTGGACCTGTCGCGGGAACAAACCAAAATTGCGAGTTGAACAATGCCGCCGAGGAAAACCATGCTCCATTTCGCCTTGTGAATAAACCAGATCACGCATATTTTGCAATCGAGGTAACATTTTACATTCTTAAGAAACTAAAGGGAGTCAGACCCAGAGGAGGATGTTTCACTTTCTGGGGCTAAAGCGATCTTATTCGTGATAAAAAGAAAAGTTGAACAAAGTTTATTTGTTTTTGTCAACAGAATCCTTGCAGCAGCAGTCCATGTTTGAACAATGGCACCTGTCGAGCTGGACTCACCAATAAAGGTTTTCGTTGCATCTGTCGGGAAAGATTCACAGGGGAAACCTGCCAAGTTAAAGGTGAATCGTCTGGAATGTGTGGGCGGCCTCTCGAGTACTACCGAGGAGTTGCTGAAAGGTCGAAACTTGACTTCAAGAACAAAATATTAACCACTGAAATTAAACTAAAAAAGAAAAGCCTGTAGAAAAATACTGTAGTTTTAAATTAATATAGCTAGTTAATATTTAGCAAAATGTTTATTGTTACTGTTCAGAATCAAGTTGTATCGGCCAGAGCAATATTCGGGAAAGCAAACAAAACGCAGGCAGCATCCAAACAATTCAAAGTTAGCGTTTTGTTTTAACTTATTTGCAGTCAAAAGAAACTGCGCCGAGATCTACAAATCCGGTACAACAACTGACGGTGTGTACACCATTAAACCGGATAATTTGCCTGCCATTGAAGTATTCTGTGACCAAACAACAGCTGGTGGAGGGTGGACTGTGTTTCAGAAAAGACTGGACGGCTCGGTTGATTTCTACCGCTATTGGAACGACTACAAACAAGGCTTTGGTGACGTGAGTTGTGAGTTTTGGCTTGGACTAGACAAGATTCACCGCCAAATCTCAAAAAACCAAAACGTGCTGCGTGTGGACTTGGAAGACTTTGAAGGAAACACTGCTTATGCTGAGTATAAGAAGTTTGAGGTCAAGAGTCAGAAGGACAAGTACTGGCTGATTCGGGGTTTCTATTCAGGTAAAACGGTACTTTTCCTTTTTATCATTATTGGGGGAGGAGAGAGTGAAACAAACTAAAGAGGCTTAAATTCTTAATAACTTGAAGCTAAGCTCACCAAAATACAATCTTAGGAGGGGAGGAGAGTGTAAGTTAAATTAGAGAAGCTTAAATTATTTTTCAGCAATGATGGAAAAAATGATAGAAAAAAGGATCAGCTCAGCTCACCTCACCGGACGACCGCAGAGCAAGCTTGTCGATGGATCTGATAAATATCTCGGAAAATAAGGGCCTCATTTAATTTAATGACCTGGGTTGGTCCGGTTGGCCGGACTGGCTCGGTTTTGACGAGATTTCGGCACTTTTGACTAACGCAACAAAAATCAACTTTGTGACTACATGACAACCGAGTCAGCTGTGATCCCAGTATCGCAATACTGGAATTTCGGCAAACCGGGTAGAGATTTTCTGAAATGATCGTGTTCACCCTGACCAGCCTGGGCTGGAAACATGTGGGCCGTTGAAGTCCTAAATGTAAAAGCTGTCCTAAATGTAATAACATTTGGTCCGAAATGTAATAAAGTCGTAAATGTAATAACATTTCGTCCTAGATATAAGCCTCCAATGCTAGTGCATTGTTGTTAGTGGACATCCACATTGAGATGTTACAGTGACAGCTGTTGCACCAAAAAATCGATGTGTTAAATGGGGTTGACAGGCCTACACGACTCCCCAGCCCGTGTTTAGGGTAGCCTATTCAAAGTTTAGCCCTCACGAGTATGTCTTTGAACGACCGCCCTCTTTTGTAAGATACGAGTGGCGGATTTTTGTATGGTTCGCTCAACAATGGTTGTGTTTCTATTAAATGCCAGTTTCTCATGAGAATTTTCTTTATGTGTGGCACTGATGGTTGGTATTGTGTAACAAAAGGCAAAATTCGTTGGTTCGTCTTCGGTTTCTGTTGAAGAGCTAATTTCCTGTTTTTGAAATTCACCTCTGGGAGGGTTGTGTTAATGAGGTCCTCTGGGTAGCCTCTCTGTAACAAATGCGCTTTAAAATTTGCGATTTTCTCCTGGAATATCGTTTGAGAGGAGTTTGTTCTGAGAAGTCTACGGGCCTCCCCATTTATGAAGCCTTTTTAACTCCTTGTGGGTGACAGGAACTATAGTGTGCATACTGAAATGTCTCAGTTTGTTTACCCCTCTGCTACATCTACATGTTAATTATTAGTCATTTCAAAACCCGGTATATGAGAGACTACCCCAAAAAAGGAAAAAATGCGTGGTTCACTAGACCATTAATTGACCATCATGCATGTATTGAATGTTGTAGCTCAAGGGTTCAATTTGGCTCTTGTGAGGAAAATTGCAACCTTTCGAGACCGAAGTCGCAAAAAGCGGCAGGAGACAGTCTAAACAAAGAAAAAATTAAACGACCCTGTTGGGGTTATTGTACTACATATGCAGTTGACTTTCTTTCTCAGCTCTCGAAATAAATAAGTCATTCTTGATTCTTATTAAAGCGAAATATTTTTGCTTATCATAATACCTTTATTGACCAAGGTAAGAGGATATAAACACTCTTGACCAAACTTTTCCGGTCAAGATGGCCGGATATTATCCTCGTCCTTTCCTGCGTTTTTATGGACCTCGACATCGTCTCCTTTTTATGGACCGAGCCGAAAGACCTCGGTAAATATCCAGCCATCCTGACCTCACCCTTGGTCAATAACCCTTTGGGTCCGCAGTAACTGGCGCAAGCTGTTGCGGTGTCCCTGCCGGTTGGCGAAGCGATTAACTAAACAAATGAATAAATAACGCATATGAATAGATTTCATGCAGACTCATACAATTCTGGCAAGGGAAGACAGTACAAAAAATGTACTTTCGACCCCAGAATTTGTCTAACGTATAGGTCAGTGGATTTCCTTTTCTTTATAATTCGGTTCATGAAGCGTTAACTTTGGCACAGATCACACAAGTATATCACCAAATCTTTTGCACTTAAGTATCTGAGCCAATGATATAAAGAGCTAGAGGTATTAGTCAACGTTCTCTTTGTTTTGACGTCTATCAATTTGATGCCAAAACCTCATCAGTATAAGGGTTTGTAACAAATGCTTCTCGACCTATGTCTCTGAAAAGGATCATGGAGATTGTTATTAGTTTACTTTTATTTGAATTCTTATTGTTAAATTGTTTCCGTCTCTACGGTTGTTTAAGATAAATTTTGCTCATTTAATGGTGCGAATTGTAAGTTAGAGAAATAGTGATGACTCTCCTCTTTCTTTTTCAGGAAATGCTGGTCACTCTTTCCCTCCTAGTCGGCCCTTCACTACCAGAGATCAAGATAATGAATGATAATAGCCAAGACGAAAACTTCCCCATCAAGTTCAAAGGAGCCTGGTGGTACAACGTATATCACGCCTCGAATCTTAATGGCTTGTATCATCATGGACCTCACCCCTCCTATGCCGATGGTGTAAGCTGGAAAACCTGGAAAGGATAATATTACTCCCTGAAGAGAACCGAGATGAAAATAAGACCAGCGAGTTTCTGAACTGACATGCTTATTTTATGATTATGATAAAGTACCTACTTAGCAAAAACGAATGACTTGATAAAGTCTGTTCAGTACTAACACAGATGGGTTGGCGCTTATTGAACGCTCGTTGAATTTTCTAAGGTTTTATAGACTGAACTGCCATGTTTATTGCATAACTATGACAATACCAACTTAACAAAAAAACGGGTGTCTCTATCCAGTATTTTTAGTGTTAAAAAATCACTAATCAGTTGGTGTTTACCGAAATATCAATGTTTGTTATATTGTTCACGCCTGGCTAATTTAGAATTTTTCTTGCTTCTTGATGAGTCTTTCCCTGGAAGTTACCGGGGAATGGATGATGGTCCCTACCTCGTTCCTAAGATAGGAAAACGTTATCTGTAGAATGAATCATATTCTGATACGGCATTCGAATGCGTTTGGCATATCTCTGGAGTTTCATGAGTATAAGGTAACAGCTATTAGTGCTGACAATACATCAAAATTGATTGAGGTATGTTCTACAAGTAAGAAACTGAATTCCTAAAGAGCAGACTTTTATCTTCATAGTCCGTTATTAAAAGTCATTATGAGGGTGATGGTACCAGATACTGGCCCCGTAAACGCTTTCCAAACTACTTTGTGTTGTCCAAAATAGCCTATTTTTTGATAAATCAATAGTTTTCCTCTGCACGTTTATGAAAAATACCAAAACTAATCAAATTTTGCGGAGAAAATCTTAAAAAGATTGCAAAATCTTATTTTCCCCTACAAGATTGAGCAGGTCCGTAAAAAACTATGTGTTAAGAGTCAACCATGGAAAGATGCAGAGGTAATCTGCAACCACTCAGTAAATGAATACTGTAGAAATTCTGCAACCAGTCACCTGATGTCACAGAAATTCTGCGACCTCTCTCAGCCACTAGATGTTGCAGAAATTCTGCAACCACTCAGTCACAAGATGTCGCAGAAATTCTGCGATCACTCAGTACCAAGTTGTCGCAGAAATTCTGCAACGACTCAACCACTGGATGTCGCAAAATTCTG